TGGAGATTGTTATTGTTGTTGTTGTTGGAAACACTGACCAAGTACAGACAGCAGAATCAGCACCCCACCACATGGCTGGAAACCCTGATCAACGAGATGATGCTAATTAAGACTCCCAGCCACTCAGGGAGCCCACAGAGGGTGGCAAGTGGCAATGCCTACAGTCAACAAGCAGAGTCATCCAGAGAATCTGGCTAATGGAGGATGGCAGGGAGACAAGAGTGCATAACAGACTGCATTTTTAATGAAGAAAAGCAAACATAGGAACAACTTATCTTTTCTGACATCACAGCCTTGGAAGTGACTGATACGGAGTAACAAAGAGCTATACAGATCCCGCTTTGAATTTTACAGATTCAATACCCTCCCTAAATAGCACTGGGAACTAAAAATCCCCAGAGAGCCAAAAACAATGTTTTTCATTTAAAATCGGTTTTAAAATATTTTTCTTACCAGCCTGGAGGGAAAATGGAGATAAGTTCAGAATATCGCATTTATTCTCAGATCTGGAATATACCATGAGTCGTTAAGTTCCACACTAAGCAAATCATTTACCACGTGCTACCCTGAATTTATTCTCCATCAATCTCTCTCCTCTCTGTCTCACGCTTGCAGCCCTTTAAAGCACCACATTTACTCCTGTGATACACGGCTGTCTCAAATTTTCAACTACTCATCCTTACAACATCTGACCCAGCATGGCCTGGCCTCCTGAAAGGCTCAGAACATGATTGATCGATTACATTGTTCATTCTTTACATTTTATTCAAACTTGGACTCTCCCAGATCCTTTAAAGAAATTCTACTTCCTCATTTATGTCAAAAGTTCCTGCCGGCATTGATTCATGACTTTAGACACTCCCAGAAACGTCAACATTTCAGATCATCTCTCGTATTCCTATAAGTTTAAGATAAATGTTTCTGCTGTGATCATCACTGTTATTTGATAGAGCTTTTTTTCCTAAGAAAGGGCAGGGAAATAAATATCCCTGGAGTGGAAGCAATCCAATCGAAGCATACAAATCAGGCAGTAAACCAAGCATTGGGCTGACAGAAGGGAAAACAACCAGGTAAGTCTGTCCAATTTCATTTACGTTTCCCAGAAAACAGGAATGTTAAAACATAGGAAAGCCAGAACTCACGAGGGGCGGGGGTGGGACTCAAGAGAACTGAACCACCATGCTGCAGTCAACAAAGACCATGGTACGACATCACAGAACTTTGAGAGGCAGTCAGGGCCAGGCAGGCGTCTTGAAACAGGTGGAACTGTTGCTCCTCTGTCACACTGTCTTACTGTCCTATTAACTCAGTCCATTATTGCCTCTGTCCTCCACCCGTCCTACCCCTCAAACACAGCCCCACATCCCAAGGAGAGGTAAACAGGAAGTGTATTCTTCCATTCTCTATGGACCCATGGCATAAGAACCCATGTGGCACATGGCTGTCGGATCTGAAATGTGACCTGCACGGGAAAGGCATTCATCTGACTTGCTTCCCGTCCACTGAGCCCTCAGCCAGACTGGCCCACCTAGTGCCACCTGCAGATCCTCAAAGGACAACATCCGTGCCAAGACACCCAGATGAGCCCAGGGCAGACCAGCTCCTTTACTCTTCCCTATCCTGTGTGCATCTCACCCCACCGTCCTCAGCTCATAACTCTTGGCCATATCCTTGGCGCCCACCCAACCTGGCATGCCTCACACTTGGCATTTGCATTTATGTCCCTGGAGTTAGTCATTGAGGCCACCTGACTGCTAGCTCTCAGCATCCCCACGCGGCAAGCAGACACTTATCTGTCAAATACCACCCGGGCAGAGGCTGCCTATAGTAGTGTGAAGGGGGGATTCTGTACATTTTAACAGACAACTCAACATGCTGTCATGTTTTCATTTTTACATTGACTGCAAGGTGGCTCACAGCTAAATTTAACCTTCACGTGGATGAGCCATTTTTATTTGGGTTTCCCAGCAGAACAATACCCTGTCTTTTGTTTGACCTCTGACTTCTCTTTGTTCAGCCATGCTAGCTGTCACAGCATTTTCTGGAAATAGCGGATGTATAACTAGAGTACCTTTCCTTTCCTCAGAAGAATGATACAGTTTTAGAGGTAGACAAGCCCTTAGCAGTGCCGCACCCCAGTATTTCCCAAACACCGGTCCCTAGGCCAGTGCTGATGAGCTCATGGCTATCAGTCAGTGGTCAGGAGAAAAACAAGAAAAAGGATGGAAATTAAGAGCTTTTTCACAAGGCAAAACACATATAAATTCATTCATTCATTCATTCATTCATTCATTCATTCATTCATTTATCTAATGGAGGTACTGGGGATTGAACCCAGGACCTAAACATGCACTCTACCAACTGAGCTATACCCTCCCCGCTAAACACATATAATTTAAAGTCAAATGTATGCAATTCCTACTTTTTTAGAATTGAAATATTTCTTCTTTCATGAAATGGTGTTGGTAGACGGTAGTTATTTTATTAAAAATCTTAATGACAAATTAAGTAGAGAGAGAATGCACATTAGATTTTTTTCCCTCCTCCTAAATAGCTCACCACCATCATTAATGACAAATTCTAAACACAGAACAGAGACTCCTGCAAATAGAGTGAACTCTCACGTACTTATCTGCTGTCAACCATTATGAATTATGTTTATGTAGAGCCCAAAATATCTAGTAAAAATTGGGCCTTAATTTTTTTTCTGCTAGTCCACAAATTCTAAAAGTGTGGGAAGGATGAGGCTGGGCCAGCTTCTGCCTTTTACAGATAAGGACATGGAGATGAGCAGAGAAGAATCTGCACCTCGCTATACAGCTAGTCAAGAACAGAAGGGAACCCCCTGTGTGCCAGGACACGGTTTTTGAGGAAAGGAGCATCAACCAGTCCTTTTTAACCTGTCAGACTTTAATCAAGGCAGAGCCAAGACTTGCAGAAGGTCATCTTTTTTATCTGCCCAGCGCACTGGATACACACTACGTGGGAGCGTGCAGCCACAACCAGAATCACCAAAGGAGAAAATCAAAAATCTATCATCAAAGTTTACTTCATTTCATGCTAGACTAATTGTGTGCCATCCCTGGAGGGCTACAGGAACCACCAGATCGTTTCAGGGCAAAGATTACTGGAAGTTTCTACACTAATTCCTTATCCAGCACTTCCCTCCAACCACAAAAAAATTTAGGGAGCAAACATATGTGAATGAATGAGAATTCATGCAGTAAGTTAAAAAACCAACTGCTCATCTCCTCTTCCAGGCCTTCCCATCACCCCACCAAATGACTGAGTGGAAAAATCAAACAGCAATGGAAGTAGTAAGACCAGGGAGCCTCATTCCTGCCTCACAGAACCGGGGTACAAATCAAACAAGACAGTGCAAAGCAACAACATTTTAAGTCTCTATAAAACTTGACCAACACAGGAGGGTAGCCAGCTGATAATAAAACATCTTTTTAAAGGACTCACCTAAATTCTCGGTTTATGTAAAGAATCAGTGTCCCTGAAAATAGCCTGAAGCATCTGAGAAGCCTTCAGCAGCAATGCCTAAAACAATAATAAAAATCATCAGAATCAAGATATGTTATAGACATCAGATTTCGAAAAAAAAATCTCAATCTATACATTTGGCCATTTCCCCCCACACTAAGCTTGAAAGGAAATAACTCAGGAAACAATGAATTTCCGCTGCAACACATGGACTGGGAGTTTTCTTTACCAACAGGGAATTGAGGTCCCAAGACACTTATTTGGAAGACCTAAATTATGTTACAGTTGGCAAAGAAGCAGAACACATTATTTGCTTCCCTGTGATAGGAATGCTTAATGGCTTGAATTTAAACAAAGATCAAATATATACATTCTCCTCCCTGCCCCCACCAACACTTAAAAATCACAGGCACTGCACTCTGATTCTTTTCAAAATCAGCATTCACAAGGTCTTGTCTCGTTCACTTTTTTTTTTCTTCCTACTTAGTTCCTATAATGCATCTGTGAAGCAGTCCCCTCCTGCTTTAGCTATTCCAGTCTCATTCCCAGTTCCCTGATGCATTGAAGGCTAACCATTTGACACCTTATCCATGCAAACCTAATTTGAAATAGAGAAGCACCATAATCAATTGTTGAAACCAACAAAATGGGCCGGCCACAATTAACAAGCAGTAGTCTGAGTGAAAACTCACATGTGAACCAGAATAAACATGCAGCTACAGAGTCAAGTATTTGTATGAAACAGACAACATACATGTAATCTAATCCAGGTAGTAGGTGAGACTAGTTAGTAAATGGTGGTGGTAAGCTATTTAGGGGGAGGGAAAAAACCTAGCACACGCTCTCTCTCTCTATTTAAAGAGAAGCAGCTCAAAATAGAATCATATGAGTACTAGAAGAACATACAGACAAACAATTTTATAATACAGGGATAAGAAAGGTCTTTTTAAACATGACATCCAAATCTGAAACTCAAGAACCAAGACATTTGGCAACATGTTTTTGAATCTCAAATACACGAAAAGCAAAACCAAATCAAAAAATTTAAAAAAAGCACAAACCAACCTACATACTTTTGTCAAAAGACAAAATATGGAACTAGGTAAAATATTTATACAAGAGACATAGGAGTGGTTGCTATCCTTAACGCAAAAATGTCTTAAAAATCGGTAATGAAATTAATAATCCCCTGCAAAATGGACAAAGCAAATTAATCAATTTTCCATGAGAACAGAAGAGAAATAAACATGTGAAAAGATACACAGCTATACTAATGATGAAAAAGTACCCTTTAGAAAACTGAGGTCTTACTTTACCCGTCAGATGGGTAGGGATGTCCAAGACGGGTAAGAGCCACTTAGGTAACTATGTCAGCATGTAAAGTGTACAATGTAAAACCCTTTGATCCAGCAACCCTTCCTCCAAGAATTCACTCAGAGAATTTACACAATTTGATTGCTGTGAAAGAAGAAAGGTGGAAATACACAGCCCTGCTTATCATCACGAGGGGACAAAAAGGTAACCATCCTAAAGGTCCACAAATAGGAGATGCTAAGTAAACAGGTATTTATTGATATTTATTGATATGAAAAGATCCACGATACACTTCTGAGTGAATCAAACAGGGAAATGACCAAGCACAGAATGCTTCCACTGTGTTCCTGGATGTCCTTACATGTGCCAAGAAGGATGTTTATTGAACTAGTTACGACTGCTCCCGATTATTAGAATCTTAATACAATTTTTACTTTTTTTTATACTGTTCGAATTTCAAATAATGAGCCTGAGTTATTTTTTCCCAAGAATACAGCTACTTTTTAATCTTGTGCTCAAGGGTAAAGAGACTGCACAGATTTTACCTTCCTTCTCTCACCCTAGTGACATTTGTGTCACACGTGTGCTTGTTGTGAACACTGATCAGAGAGCTCCCTTCCTCATCTCTGGTTCCTCTCTTCAGTCCTGAGGGCCACTTCGTCCTTGCCTTTGTCCACACCTGTCCCCTTGTAAATCTCATCGGTGACTCAAGCCAGCTCCAGCGGGTTTGTCAGTGGTGAGCAAAGGAGTCCCATGTAATACAGCGCTGCTTTTTCTTTACCACCTTCTCAGTCATTCCATTCCATTTGAAAGCAGAACTGTAAATCTTGTAATCACATGAATGGAGATTTATCGTGCACAATGTCATGTATTGTTCATGGCCTACAGCTCAAGTAACTGGAGCAAGCCGCTCAAAGCTAGTCTAACAAAGGCGGAAAAACTACTCTAAGAGACAGGTGGGTTCATTCCTGACTAATATGAGAACTGATGAAACGGCTATTTGAATAAGAATGAAAACGAGGACACATTTATCCAGACAGGCCATTTCAATGGTTGAAATAGACTCTATTATCATATTTTAACCACTCTGCAGATTTATTTTTATTGGGTTATATTTACAGGTGAAAAGGTTTTTTTTTCCCTATTTAGACTATAAAATACAGAAACATATTCCCATAATGGGCTCATTATGTTCACTTTATCTCCAGCAAACAAATTTATTCTTCTCATTGCCCTACTCTGAAAGGTTCAAAAGTTCCATATAATACATAGATCCCCATAATATCATAATTATAAACCTGGCTAAAAAGTCACAGATGTACAGATCCCTTTATAGGTGTGCTGGATGCCAAGTACAAATCTAATTAATCCACCTTTATCTCCTGAAGCCTCCTTCTCTCCGCCACCCCCCGAAAATTTCCCTAGAAGGTAGATAAAGGACAAGAACCACTATCCAATCTCAAAGATGAGCAATCAAAGACTCAACTAAAGTACTGCACCTCCAGGGTGTAACCCAGACAAACCCACAGGCCAGCCAGTGCCAGCCGCTGACCCCTCCTCAGTGCACAGATGGGGATGGATGGATGGATGGATGGGGAGCCGGGCAAGTCTGCATTCGAGGCTGAGATGCATTAGGGTTTACAAGACACAACACTGCATTTGGGGGAGGCAAAAGCACAGTGGTTTCAAGTACAGTGATTGATCCTGATTCTGTCATTAATTAGTCGCCTGGCCTTATTGTGCCTTAACCTCTCTGTGCCTCAGTTTCCTCCTCCGTAACAATGCCCAAGAAAAGGGCCACTGTAAGCATTCAAGGCGACAGTATATCTAAGGCAGTCAGCAACGCTCAAGAGTCACACATGGTCTTATGTGAGTTCCAGCTCCGTGCGAGCCTTGAGGGAAACTGCCCATAGGTTGAAACTCATTGCCTGAACGGAACACGGTCCCTAAAGAACTCTGGGATGAAGTATGTCTCTATGTAGGACACTCACCTATTTAAAATGCTTATTTTACACGTGAATAAGACATGTCCAATTATATAGAAACTTACTATAAGGTACCAGGAGCTTGTTATTTCAAGGAACTAACGTTGCCTTAAAGTAGCCTTCTCTGGGTCATATGAGAAATCACTTGGCAGCTCCCAAGTTCTACCATCTTTGAGAGGCATACGGAGATGTGACCAAAAAGCAGCAAAAGACACTGGCTTGTCACCAACAGCAGGGCTTCCCTGGTTCTGCATCTCAGACCACTTCCTACCTCCTTGGGGAAGCTTACATCTCCAAGCCCTAGATCAGCCTGTCACCAGAGCAGAGATGGTAATACCGAGACACTGCAGATGTGGAAGTGAAATCAGAATGTATGGGTGAAGTTCTTAACACAGTGCCTGGAGCCCGGTAAGTGTCCAGGAAATGGAGTATCTACTATCGATTATCATCTTAACAGCAATAAGGAAGCAAAACACATAATAAATAATCTGGTTGAGACCATACAAGGCACCTTTTCATGGAGAGTTTTATGGACTCTGTTTTCCACATTTCACTCAGTGTAATCCCCATAGGAATGTGGGGCCAAGTTGAAGGGGATCTGAGGAGGCAAAGGGGTCTCAAAGGAGCTGCACATTGCACAGGGCTGAAATCTCACAATGGAGTACAGACCCCAAGGAGCCAAAAAACACATCTGCCCTCACATTTCACTGAAAGATGGAGAACAGTTGAACACCACACTCAAATTTTGCCCTGGACCCATCGACACGAACATACAAATCAAAAGACAGGCCTGGATGGGCACCATCCCAAGTGTTTTTGCTGCCCTACGTTAACCAAAGTGTTTTTATAAGACCAAACAAAGCAGCAGGGTATCCATTAAATTTAGCTAAAGATGAGCAGTACATACGACTCTTAGCTTGAAGTTATCACTAACATTGGACACATTTATTACTAATTGCTCAGGAACAAAATCCAACAAGAAAGAAGCCAAATAATTTTTCAGTAACCATAAAACAGAGACAGGGAGAGCCTAAGAGAGAAAAGAGGAGAAACTGTGAAAACAAAATTCTTCCAACTTCTACGACTTGCCAAGGATTTTTTTTCCTTGAAACCTTGAGAACGTGTTCGTTACAAGCACAGCTCAGTGATGAAGGATGCTCAGCTTAAGGGTGTCATAAGGTATCTGCCTCCAAGGGAAAGTGCCCGATTCTCCTTTCAGGGCTTCTCTTGGCTGACTTTCCAGCTAGAGGCTGAGTTCTTAGATCAAATGAAACTTAGTGAAGCCAAGCTCAAAGCATCAGTGCCCAAAGCCTTCAGAGATGAGGAATGATATACTACTACCTTGCCTTCTGCAGAGCAGAAAGAAAGGCTCCAGAAATTCCTCGATATTCCTCTAAAAGCACCATTTCAGCAAACTAGGAAGAGGTGTTACATGCCAAAAAAGATTCTCAATATACATGTGGGAAATGCTGGTTTAAACCAAATGAAGGAGTTTCTCTAATACAAGAACAGTATGGACACCTTCGTGAGCGAACATTGATCATAAATAAGTTGCTCCAATCTTATTTGGACACAAATTCCTGTACTTTTTTGCAGTCTCTGTCTTGGTACAAGTACCACACACAACAGTTTGGAAAACAATGCTATAATTAGTTCTTTTATGCAAATGACAATTGAAGGCTCACTCTGCCCATTACACTCACAATCACATGAGAAGGCACAAGGCCTCTAAGGATCAGGTAAGGGTGCAGACAATAG